TCTCGGTGCATCAGTTTTCTCACAGGCCCATTGGCAGGATTAAATGAGATAATCTATATTAGACTCATCAGCACAGTGGCCAGCACATTGTAGAAACATTCAATAAATGTTAGCTGTTTTTATGAGTAGGAAGAATGCTTTTAGCAAAACTTAAGGACTCAGCCTCCAGATGTTTTTGGCTAGAGAAGCTATTTGGCAACTTCTAAGGCAAATTGTGTTCTTAATGAATTCATGTATACAATTAAGTATTTTTTTGAGATTGTCCATTCTAAAAAGAGTTGCCCCTGAATTTCTAAATGCATCGAAATAAGGTATAGATCAAGGTTAATTACGAAATGTAAGTAGAAATACAAGTATTGATGTTACTGGAGCCTACGAGGTTTTTTTTTTTTTTTTTTTTTGCTCTAACTAGTATAATTCCTTCAGGTACATAACACAAATTCCAAATTCTTCCCTGTGGTAGCAGGAGCCTGTTTGGTGAAGGGAGTTTGAAGTCTAGGACAAGGAAAACACTAAAGGTTAGTCTTTACAACCACATTCATGCTCAGGTCTGTGATTCTTGTAATATTTATTATATACAAGCATTTTTAAAATGCAGAACTAATTTTTTTTTCTTTTCAATCAAAGGCACCACAATTCAAGGAACCGAAACTAAAGAGATTTAAGGGCATCAAATGATACGATGCAGGCTCTCAATCCTTAAACAGTTTGCTGAATTTTTTATTTGGCTTGTCCTGGAATAGGATAGGTGAGACGGCTGGGGGTGCTGAATGATCATAAGCTGGTTGATGATTCAGGACAGGTAGAGAGGCAGAGAAGCAGCCTATCAGGGCAGGCTCATGTAATGCAGGGGACCTGGGGGTCATGATTAGAAGATGCAAGGCAGAATATAGTTACAGTGGTGGGAAAGGGGCAGGCAAGGGTTAAGTTGGGAAGAGCTTACCAGTCAATTAGAAGCTGAAAATTGAAGGTGAAATTGATTGCCAGAAAAACCAGACTTCGGATTTGTCAGGTGTGATAGCAGAAGGAGTCTTTTCAGAGAGTAAGATGAGTAAAGGTTCACAGCTCGGTGCAGCCTGTTTAAGGACTTGGCTTAGCACTGCCTGGGGATAGAATTAAGGTGCCAAATCCTTTCTATAAACATTTATTGAATTCTTACTCTCTGCTAGGAACTGTAATGAATTTAAAAAGATAACTGAGACAAGTCACTGCTTTTGAAAAGCAAGTGTTTTTGTACATTGAGAGGGGTCAACAACTTCATATAATACAATATCTGTAGTAGAGGTAGGTACAAGTGGCTGAGAAAGCAGAGAGAAGGCAGTGATTATTTCTAAGGGACAGAAGTTCTCAGTTGGGCTAGAAACATAAGTTACTTTTCCTCCCATCTTCCTCTTCTGATCTTGGTCATGATCACAGTTTAAAATCAAACAGGGCCATACAGAAGCTAATTGTCACCCTCTACTACTTTTGCTTAAAACTTAGAGGTCACTCATGGGAAGCCTGGTTTCTCACTTGACAGATTTGTCACAGAGCCTTTAGCATAATCTGTAAGGGACCCAAGCTTCAGAAAACCAAATTAGTTCAAAGGAATTTTGCTCAAGTTCCTAGTTTGCGTACTTTGGGACTAGACCGTTGAGACAGTTTTGGGCAATGAATGAAATGGAAAGTATGTACGTTTATTGGGGGATGGGGTGGGAAGGTATGTTATCTATAGTTATGTGAGAAGTGATCCCAAGACTTAGCAGCTGAATTAGTCTTCCAGGGCTGCCATAACAAAATACCACAGACTGCGTGGTTTAAACAATGGAATTTATTTTCTCAGTTGTGGAAGGTGAAAGTCCAAGATTAAGGCGACAGCAGGTTTGGTTTCTCCTGAGGCCATTCTTCTTGCTTGCAGATGGCTGCCATCTCCCGGTGTGCACCCATGGCATTTTCTCTGGGCATCTGAATCCCTGGTGTCTCTTTCTCTTCTTATAAGGACACTAGTCATATTTGATTAGGTCCCCACACTTATGACCTCACTTAATCCTAATTTATAATTCCTATCTCCAAATACAGTCACATTGAGGGGTTAGGGCTTCAACACAATAAATTGCTTTTTTAGGTGGGAGGAAAGGGATACAATTCAGTTCATAAAGTGGCTAAAAGATCAAATATTTATCTCATAATTTCTGTGGGTCAGGAATTCAGAAGCCACTTAGCTGGTGGTTCTGGCTCAGGGTTTCTCAAGAAGTTGCAGTCAAGATAATGGTCAAGGCTGCAATCATCTGAACGCTTGACAGGGACTGGAAGATCTGCTTCCAAAGTGGCCCATTCACATGATGTATTAGTTTCCTACAGCTGCCACTGCAAAGTACCAAAAACTGAGTGGCTCTGAACAGCAGATACTTATCATTTCACAGTTCTGGAGGCTGGAAGTACAATGTCAAGGTGTCAGTAGGGTTGGTTCTTCCTGAGAACTGTGAGGGAGTATCTCTTCGATGCTTCTCTCCTAGATTTTGGTGGTTTGCTGGCAGTCTTTGGTATTCCTTTTCCTGTAGTTGCACCTCTGATCTCTGCCTTCATCTTCACATACTGTTCTCCCTTGTGTGTGTCTGTGTCCAAATTTCCCCTCCTTATAAGGACACCAGTCATACTGGATTGGAGCCCACCTTAATGATCTCATTTTAACTTGATTTCCTCTGTAATAACCCTATCTTCATACAAGGTCACATTCTGAGGTACTAGGGGTTAGGACTCTAACTTACCTTTTTTTTTGAAGATACAATTTAATTCATAACACAAGACTATTGACAGAAACCTCTTTCTGGCTATGAATAGGAGGCCTCAGCTGCTTTCCATGTGTACCTCTCCAAAGGGTTGTCTCAATGTCCTAATGACATGGACAGCTGGTTTCCCCCAAAGTGAGTGACCCAAGAGAAAGAGGGCTCAATACATTTTGAGACCTACTCTCAAAAAATCACACACCACCACTCCTGTCATATTTTACTCATTGGAAGTGAATCCCTTAGTTTAGTCCACAGTAAAGGGAAAAAGGCTGTACCTTTCGAAGGAAGGAATATCACCTCTCCCCCAGGGTGACAGAGATGCAAAGGATTACTCAAAGCCTATATCTTCTGAGCAGTGAGAGGGCCGAAACAGTTACCCCCAGGAATAATTCTTTCAAGAGAAGAAAGATCCTGGGAATAGCCCCGAATCCAGTTTTCTCTTCGTTTTTATTCTCCAGGCAAGAAAGTTACAGAAAAGGAATATAGGTGGTCACAAAAAGAACAGTAGGATATCTGTCATGGCAACAATCATTAGGTTTAGCTGCACCGAGGACATCTGCCCTTAGAGCCAGCATTTTTGCTGTGTTACAATTTTTTAAAAAAAATCTACGGATATCTGTCATGGCAACAATCATTAGGTTTAGCTGCACTGAGGACATCTGCCCTTAGAGCCAGCATTTTTGCTGTGTTACAATTTTTTAAAAAAAATCTACAACAGAGACTTTAGCCCTGGGAAGGTTTTCTGTCTTTCCCAAGCTTAACATTTCTGTGTGTTAGGCCCTATGAAATACATTTGTTTTACTAACATTGGTATCCTCCACAAAGGAATGTCACATATTTTGTGGATATAGTTTAACACCATCACAGAAGAGAATCAGGATTAGGTCAAATTAGGCAGAAATATTGGTCAGGGTAGTGGAATGAGATTAAGATATGAATCAAGTCATAGAGATCTTACCTGTTGTAAATACTAGACTCAGGCACCGAAACACTCAAGAAAGGAGGAATTGAGCAGTTAGTTAGCTGAGGTCAGTTATCAAGGACACTGAACAGAAGTTACTACAAATAAAAACAGAAAGAATTCTTCTGGAGAAGAAAGTCGTCTCAGCAAGGCTATCTTTTTAATTTTAGATATTATATTTTTTAGTTCTATAATTTCCACTTGGTATTCTATAAAGTTTCTATTTTCCTGTTGAAATTTACCATTTTTTAAATTCATTATGAGTGTGTTTTCCTGGCCAAGGAAAACACTAAGGGGTAGCTTTTGGCTTAACAGTTATAATAGTTGCATTTAAATTCTTGCCTAGTAATTCAAACATTTGGGTCACCTCAAAGTTTATTTTCTTTATGTTTTTTCTTGAGACTAAAAGTCACATTTTCTTGGTCCTTTATATGCTGAGTAATTTT